CCCCAAAACCCCAAAACCCCAAAACCCCAAAACCCCAAAACCCCAAAACCCCAAAACCCCTGGAAAATCAGAGCCGATTGAGATAGAATAGATATAATATTATTCGTAAATTCTCAAAATGTTACCTTTACTCGCTTCGTTAATTACCGAAAGATGAGCAGGCCAATTATTTTCAATAGGAAATAGCCTTCCTGTGTGTAAGATTCGCATTTGTCTTATACACAGAGTGCTTCTTAGATTGGATAGTCCTTCCTCCATTCTCATACTCCTTCTTCCTCTTGAGGTAATTAAGCTTTGCCTGCTCATCTGAGGTATTCTCTCTGTTAGAGTTTTCCTTAGTTAACGATTTCCTGCTGTAATTCATCCTGGTTTTGAAAGACTTCATTGTATCCTTCTGGCTGAGATTAACAACACTAAAAGTTTTTATACTCTTCTGGTCTGTTACTTGTTTCTTATACTTCTCATACTTCCCAGAGCCAGAAATTTTGTAGGAGGATTTAATAAAAGTATTTGAGCATTTCTCTTCATTTCTCCCAGTGTCCTTATCAAGACTGTTCTCCATAGTTCTGAGGTTCTTTGCTCTATTCGGTTTAGGAATCCCTCCCTTCCTAGGCCTGAACCTTGTCTTTAGAGCACTCTTGGGATAACATTCATAATTTTTACCAATTTTATCCTGGCTGAAGTTGAAATTGTCAGAAACTTTCTGTTTCTTTGAATTATTTTGGTTTAGTCTATTTAAATTTGAATCTTCCTTTTTCGAGCCAGTTTTGCGGATCCTTTCCTTATTGCGGCTAGCTCTGCCTCTGCGCATCTCAACGCTCCTACCCCTTTTGAGAACATCAGTTGATTGGCTATTAGTCCCAGCATTAGACCTATTAAGTTTAACCATTAGGCTTACCCAAGGAAGTTTATACTAGAGTAATAGTTATTTAGACTCCTCTTTTTTCGTCTGGTTTTTCTCTTGCTCGCTATTTTTGTCAGAAGCTGTGGTATTTTGCCCACTAAAACCAGACCTCTGAAAGTAATTAGAGTTTAGAGACTCCTGGCTCACAATGTGATTCAGAGTCTCCTTCTTTTTTCTAGAAGGATCCTGGGCATCCCGGGTCACTTGGAGCTTCATCTTATTATTCTCTATGAAGCTGTTCTTTCCACTTGCTGGATTCTTGGATAGAAGTGGACCATAGTTCAGCCTCTCTGATTTTTTAAAAACTTGATACTTCTTTGCATGAGGAAGCATATATTTCTATTTAAGATTAAATCTGTGCTTGTTAAAATTAACCTAACGGATATTTACCTCAGAAATTTCAGTTTTGTGAAGATTAATTGAACTTTCTTCCAGAGAGTCTATCTTCCTGAGCATCTCCTTGATTCTATCCTTTCCAGTATCATTCTCAGCTTCCTGGAATGAATCTTTGTTATTTCCACAAATTTTAGGAACTGCCTTACTCTTAGATTCCTTAGTGACATAAGTATTTTTCGTTGGGATATTCTGGGTTGAGGTGACTCTGTTCTGGCTATGGGCAGATCTCATTCGCTCCTTCCTATCCCGCCTTGCGCTCTTCTGTTGGCTCTTTCCATCTCGAGCAGGTTGATCATTAAGTTTATTTCTGACAATACGATCCTTCTTTGTTGTAAGTAGATGCTTAGGAGGCAACTTAGATTCAACAGTTAGAGAAATAAATTGGTGATCAAGGTCAGTCTTGGCCGCATCAGTGTTGATCTCCTTCATTTTGAGATCGGAAGGGAACTTAGAAACCTCTTTCTGTTTCAATGTGTCATTCCCAATATCAGACGAAAACTTCTGAGTCGACATTAAGGAAACACTCACCTTATTCTTCCTAACCGAACGGTGAATTTTCTTGCTAATAGTGTCGCATTTATTATCACTGATTTCCAAGGAGATTTGTGGGACGAGCTTAAGTGGAGCCTTACTTGCCTTCTCCTCAGCAATTGTGTATAGATCGGAAAACCCGCTGGCCTGTTTCAACTTTGAAGAAAGTTGAGGGCATTTCTCTATCTCTTTGGGAGTTTCCAAATCTGAAAAGGTAATTTTGTTGGATTTCATCTTAGAGGGCATTAGAGATACTGACTTCTTTGAATCCATCACAGGTGTTTTACAAGAGCTCACAATTTTCCTATATTTCTTCTCTGAGCTAGTCATTGTTTTGTTTACAATGTATCAACTTGATTTTTCTGGGGTCTCTGAGCTACATTGCATATGGAAAGTCCACAGTCTCTCGAAAGCAGACTGAAGTTCTTCGAAAGTAATATTGTACATCTTCTGAAAATGTTCAGAATATTCAGGGTATACTTTGGTCATTTTCCTAGCTCATACTATTGCAGCCATGGCTACAATTTCTTCTCTAAACTGGAGCATGAAGTAATCATGAATGGAAAGGTTAATGAAATAGTCAGACTTTTCATTTAAAGTTTTAACTCATTCTTCTATTGTTTCTTCGTCTTCACCAATTCAGTCATTTAGTCACAGTATGGTTTGATCAAGTTGATACCGATCTGAAGAGAAGCAGATCCCTCAGGATGTAAATAGTTTTAAGTAGTGGAAAGGAGTCTGGACCATCATGTTCCAATCCAGTTCTTGTAAGATGAGAGACTCTCATGAGACAATCTTTTTAAAGGTAAAATACTTTTTAGTCTCTCTCTGTATATGGGCAATTTTGAGCATCTCTTCGTCTTTCTCATTAAACTTTGCTGCAATAAGAAGGCAGGAGATTGTTATCAACTCTCTTTTCTCTTGGCTAAGAGCCTTAACACTTGTGCTAGTATCCTTTCCATACAAATAAGATGTCTTTGGGACAACTTCTTTCACCGGTTTAGGATCACAAGGTAGTCTCTGAGTTTTATTATTCTTCCTGTAGAAATTTATAAAATGAAATATAACTTCTAAGTATTTTAGAGCCAAGTGTCAAGTCAGTGTATCTAGGTTAAAAATAGAACCAAGCTCGAATATTCTATCTAAGAATTTATTTCCGTAGCTTCTTAAGTTCAAATTTCTGGTCATAAAGATCATAGGCTTGGGTAGATTGATCTTTTCTCATATTCTCATATATCTCAAGAGGATGGAGTTCGTTTGACTCAACTATCTTAGAATCAACTAACGAGTGATGGATAATTTCCTCAAGTTCCTGCTCAACTCCAGCTGTGGAGACTTCCTGAGGAAGTGACATGCATTTACAGACCATTCAGTAGCTAATGCCGTTATATTGGAGTATAGCTGATCCGTTATGGCTTCATTTTCTGGCACTCATTTCAATTGAATTAAAATTTTATAAATTGAATCACAAATTATTTTTCAACTAAACTCTGTTATATAGGGGTTTTGGGGTTTTGGGGTTTTGGGGTTTTGGGG